ATCAACCATCACACTAAATGACTATTAAGGCACAAACGCAATGTGGGTGGAAGCGGAACGGAAACGGAAAATTTAACAGTTGTCACAAATGACATCAAGATGCCTAACCGAAGTCGATTTGGTTCTAACTAGATTTCAATCCGACAAGTAGGCTTACTCAGATCGGGCTTTTCCGCTGCCATTGCCGTACCGCTTCCGCTGTCATTGCGCTTGGGCCTTCATAATAACAAGATAGCTTATGTAACGTAATATCTACTTTAGACTGAACTTGGCATTAATCTGCAACAACTTTCCTATGATCCGTTATATTTGAAACATTTTGGTGCCAGTTTGAAAAATGGATCGATTCAAAAGATCGATACAAATTGATTGATTAAATCGGTGAATCTATTATTTAAAAAAAAAATGAATCGATTCACTAAGATCGATTCTTGCCTCAGGATCGCTCAATGCTAGGAGAAGCAGATGTTCCATTGCAAGAGGTTGAAGTTATGCTGTCCAACGAAAGCACCAGCAGCACTTTTCGCAGAAACGGCCGATAATCTATTATCGACGTCACTTTCTACAGTCCGTCACTGGTGGCAAACATGAATTGGAGAATGTGTGAAGAATATACCCACAACGACCATCAGGCAATCCGATATGACATCGGCCAACGGAAGACCGTGGCAGTACGAAGGACGAGAACCTGCGACCGCAAGTGGAAGACGAAGGCTTGCGACAAGGATCTTTTCGTTGAAGTACTCCATGTGGACAGGGGCCCTGCGGATTTGAACGCGGACGAGCTTACTGGTGGAGCGAGACACTTAGCAGTTAGCACCCTCCGCGCTAGTGACAGAAGCTAGTGTAGCTGCCGAAATCAGTTAAATCGCCGGGGCTTCCAGCATCGTACAGACCAATATGCCTGCTGGGTACACTCGGAAAACTCTTGGAGAGGATCATCCTAAACAGGCTGACGAAATGCTTTGTGAGTGAGCACGGATTGTCGGAGAGGCAGTTCGGATTCCGGAAAGGGAGATCAACGGTGAATGCAATTCAAACAGTGGTCGAGAGATCTGAGAAGTCGTCCAAACAGGAGCGTAGAGGATATCGATATTTCACCGTCATAACGATCGGCGTTAAGAATGCGTTCAACAGCACCAGCTGGGAGGCCATCGCCGAAGCTCTGCATAGAATAAGGGTCCCTGACTACCTGTGCAGGATGCTGTGGAGTTATTTCCAGAACTGGGTTCTGGTCTACAATACAGACATAGAAAGACAGAGATCAATTAGGATCACAACGGGAGTTCCACAAGGCTCCATCCTTGATCCAATGCTCTGGAACGGGATGTACAACGGCGTGCTAACACTGAAGCTGCCCAAAAGAGTTTAGATCGTCGTCTTGACGGTAACAGGCGAGGCACTGGAAGAGATGGAAGTGTTGGCGACCGAGGCGATCGACATGATTGGTAACTGGGTGCAAGCAGGCGTCATATGGGCAGTATATCGTCGTCGTAACTGCGGTATAAAGGTCCAGCCTGGGTTGCAGCGCTAGAAACGAAGCAGAACCAAAGGAAACTGAGCAGCACGTTCCGGCTCATGGCCATGCGAATCGTGAGTGCGTACAGAACCATCTCGTCGGAAGCAGTATGCGTTATCGCCGGTATGATCCCAATCGGCATCACCTTGGCGGAAGACAGCGAGTGGTACAGGCGCAGAGAAGCCGAAAGAGTACGGAAAGTTGAGAGAACGGAGTCGTTGGCTAAGTGGCAACAGGGTGGAACACGGTGGAGAAAGGTAGATGGACACATATACTCATGCCGATTCTTTCGACCTGGGTGAACATAAAACTCGGAGAAGTTAACTTCCACCTAAAGCAGTTCCTGTCTGGCCACGGTTGCTAAATTGAGAGCTGTCGATGCCTGTTACCATTTTGCATTAGAATAATTGTGTGGTAAGTACAATTATACTCTCTATGCCCAGGGAAGTCAAGAGATTTCCCAACCCGGAGAATTCCTAGACCGAACCGGGAATCAAACCCAGCCACCTCCAGCATGGTCTTGCTTTGTAGCTACGCCTTTACCGACTGAACTAAGGGAGGCCCCCAATTGACAAGAGATTGCACACTGAAAATGGATTGCTTAACCCAAGCCCCATTCATTTGGTTCTTTGCGCAAGTTTCGCTGGATTTGGTCAATCACGGAGTAGCATCTTCGAAATGTATGGTCGTCAATGATCATGGTCATGCTCATTTGGTGTTTTCATTGCACTTACGTGCTTTTTTTTTATATATCTTTATTAAGGAGACTTTTAGCCGTTGGCTGGCTCGTCTCCGTCGTGCTATTTAGGATGACATTTTCCAAATCATGCGTCTGGGCGGCTCTTCTGGTAGGAGCTTGAAAAAACTGGCAGAAGAAGCTTCTGATGAAAATCAAAATAACTTTCCGGGAGGATTCTGAAAATAACTTACATGGTGTGTTGGAAGAAAGTTCCAGGGGAGAGTTAGAAGAAACTTCCAAGGTAAGATTAAATTCTGATGAACCAGTTTGGTCAAATGAAAGTTAAAAGTATTTCTCAATTCGCAGGAATTACCGAGATGAGCCATCAGCTGTTTCTTGCTTCAAGGGTAGCAAAAACCAGAGAGGAAATAAATACACTAGTCGAAAAAGTATCTGAAAGAGACATTTTTAAAGCAAATTTAAAATATTCCAAAAAATAAAAGATAGTTAAATATTAAAATTTTGCATTTGATTATTTAAAAAATCGGTAAAAATCGGATAATATCGGTATAAAATCGGTATAAAATCTTAAAAACCGGTATTCTGGGAATCTTTATCTGTATATTGGTATTAAGTTCAATAATCGGTATAAATACCGATAAATCGGTAAACCTGGCAACGTTGCCGAGTGTGCCAACAATCGTGGTTTAACTATTCTGAACCCGGCCTACAAAATGCTATCCCACATTTAGCAAATTGTGAGAGTTTGAGTAGTCCTTCGTAAGTTCGATCAACGACGTATCAAATGTTTATCCTGCATCAAATTTTTGATAAATTCCGGGAATACAGTTTGCAAACTCATTGTCGTGCATTGGATCGAATTGGATGAACAACGTATTTACTTATTAGAGATTTGTATAGATTTTTCTCCTTTAGCTTACTTAAATCTTTGGTTTTTATTAGTTAGGTAGGTTCCGATTCAACACATTGTAGTTTCATTTTTATACCTATGATCTTGACTTTTTTACCTAGGGGATGAGTACTTAAGGGGGTTAGATTTTGATAAGTTCTTTAGTGGGAATGACACTGATGAAGACTGCACATTGTAGTCGAAATACGTATCTGTCATGGATACCAAAATTAATTAAGTGGAATTAAATGGAAGATAAACCCTTTTGCTGTTTTATTTTAACGTATTTACGATTCTGTGTGCAAAATGAACTTAGGCAGACTATACTGGGAACATGGTTTTCCGGTGAAATGGATTCTCATTCCCAGGAGAGGGTCTAGTATAAGGGAGCGATTTCTAGCAACACTGACAATGAAATCCATATAGGCGCTGCTCGATTAACTCTGGCTTTGACAGTTTGTTTGGCTTACCATTCAACATCGATCATGCAAGAGCTAAATCTCTATCTACATAAGAGCTCCTAGATAATTTTAAGCTAAGTTTCGATCAGAATTTATTGAAAAATTACCAAAACGCCATTTTAAGAGATAAGATCCAAGCAAAACTATCTTTAAATCGTCAAAACAGTCTTTAAATCTCATAAAGCAGCTTTAAAACTGCTCCAGTAGTCTAGATGGGAAATGGCCTTAAAACTGCCAAAATGGTCTCACAACAGTGACATCTAGAAAATGTCCGACCTGAAAATTGTTCAAGACCGGATCGCAAATCAAACCAGCTAGCTCCGGCATGGCAAAGTTTGTTTTGTAAATGTTTACATCATTCGGCCTAATGACTCATCACAACAACCAAATGCAGCTGTCTCTCTCTCTCTCTCTCTCTCCATTTTGGATCCTAGCTACACCCTTGGCTTTCTTTTAATATTGCAACTTTAAACCCGATTTGCATCACATCACTGTCCGACTTGTATGAAACTGAAATCACCGCTTAAATTGTTTACAAACAGCTACGCGTCTCCGACGGGGTTTCATTTAGATTTATTACTATTCACCGGACTTTCTCATAAATATTCAAACGCAAACCTTTGAGATCGTTCGTTGACTGACACCGAGACAGATACACTTTGTTTACCTACTCATCTGCCCCGCCGAGGGTGGACGATTGATGATGTTGTAAAGCCCAGAACAATCACCGTTCAAAATTCATAACCGGGATCATTAGCTAATTGACGATCGGCGGCTTACAACTCGGCCACCCGCCGCCTTATCACACGTCACGGCCGACCTTTTGCGATTACGCTGTTAAGCTCAAACGAGTGAGGAAGGGAGGGAGAAAGCGTGCGCGCGAGCACATAGCAGCAACAATTGTAATTCCAATAAATAAGTACGGCATCATCACAGCGGCAATCTCTATGAAGGTGGGTAAGTTTAGGAAATATGCGGAACAAGTGCATCGCGGAATGGCAGTTTAGATTTTCGCGATGATCGCTCCGGTTGTGATTCTAGGCAGTCTGCTATCGTTGATTCCCGCAGGCCTGGCTTACGCAGAAGATGGAGCTGATCCGTGTGCGGTGAACCTGGTAGGAAGTGCTTCAGGAACTGGGGTGCTCAATAGGACGTTCAACGGAGTGGAATACTGTGAATATTTGGGAATTCGGTACGCTGAGGCACCGGTTGGTCCACTGCGGTTCAAGGTTCGTTACTGTGAAATCGAGGGAAGCATAGCGAGCGGTGCGCTTAATGAGTCTCTTTTTAGAGTCCAGTTCTACGAGCTCCAAGTGAGACGGAGGAGTTTACGAAATATGGAAGTTACTGCGCTCAGCTCGATAGTTTCGGAGATGCTTCGAATGTTTCGGGGGAAGAAGATTGCTTGTTTTTGAACGTCTACCGGCCGGTGGTTTCTGAAGATAGCCACAAATTTCCCGTTTTAGTGTACATCCATGGTGGAAGCTATGCGGTTTGGTCTCCCCAAACGGATATGTTTGGAGTGGATCTGTTGATGGAGAATGTAATTGGTATAGATCTTTCTGGAGTGAATCCGTACTTAATTGGTACCATTTCAGGGTGTCATGATCGTTTCCTTCAACTATCGATTATCGGTGCTGGGCTTCCTGCGACATCCGGAGTTCAATATCACCGGAAACTACGGTCTCAAAGACCACCTAGCTGCCCTCCAGTGGGTTCAACGCTATATTGAGCACTTTGGAGGCGATCCGAACAACGTAACCCTGATGGGTCAAAGCGTGGGAGCCCACTCTGTAACCTATCACATGTTCCTGGAGCCCTTCCGGGGTCTATTCCATCGAGTGATAGCAATGTCCGGATCACTGCTTGCTCCCTCGGCCATGAACTACATTCCGCAGAAGTTCATCCCAAAATATCTGCAAGCGATCAACGTTACAACAAACGAGCAGCTCATGAGCGCTGATTTCAAAGATCTGTTTGCAATGAAATCGTATAGCAGAAAGTACGACTATGCCACAGTTAGCCTCCCAATCTTCTTGCCCATGGTAGAAGATGAAGATCACTCAGAAGCTCTGGTCACAGCGCCAGTTCACGAGCTGATCCTAACCGATCCGGTTAACAAAGTTCCACTGATGGTTGGTATGACCTCGTTGGAATTCACATCCCTGTTCGCGTCTCTGCCATTTGCAGAATTCAGTGCTGAGGAAAGTTTTCCCAATCGACAGAACAGCACTGCCTACCGAAGGGTGAAGGCCATGATTGATGCTGCGGCGAAACTAGCCCGCAAGGTGCAACCCAACGGTGCTGGAAGGCACTTTAGCGGAAAGCTTGCAGATTTATCTCACATGTACTATCCGGTGAAGAAGGTGATGAGACAGTTGGTGAAATCGGGCTCGTACCTTAAGCCGATCTATTACTATCGGTTCGAGTACGATGGAAAGTTCGGCAAGTATAAGAACGTGTTCTACAAGAATCGGGTGGACTTGAGCTACCAAGGGGCAATGCACGGTGATGATCTGGGGTATCTTTTTTCACCGTACAATGTGCGTGAAGCAGTGGATGATCCGAGTTCGTTTGAAACGGAGTGGAAGGTAGCTAAACGGAATGTTGGCTATTTTAGCAATTTTGTTAAATTCGGGTGAGAACGATCATATGGTTGGTCGCGATAATACGTACAGTGAATTTGATTTCTTTTACAGCAATCCCACACCGGACGATGGCGATTGGAATGGAATCAGGTGGCCTCCATACAATGAGTACAGCTCAGGATCACAATTTCTGAACATCAATAGTGAAGATGAAGTGCTAGTTGACGACGATCGATCAAACTTTATCTACCAAATATGGAGTAAAGCTCACGACTGTTTGTACTACTACCGCTGTTTGCCAGTTGAGGCATTGTTGGACAAAATCAGCCAGCATTTGAACGGCAATCAAACAGGTTTTGATTTGGATAGTTTATTCGTTGTTAATAGTTTATAGGTGTGTAAATATTTTATTGTAAATACAAAGAACCACATGTTATACGATTTATTAAGGTACGATGCCATCCTGGTTTTTAGTAAAGGAACATTGAAAGTCCATGCGGTACATTCTCAAGCATTTTTTTAACTCTTTATTTGTTCCAAATTCAAAATAAATTACATTTCATTTAACCTAGGTGCTCCAGTTACTACAATGACTTACCAGCCTTAATTGTGATGATAAATAATAAGTGTTTTACTTTGTTTCTGCACTGGCAATTCAGTATTTTAAACAGGTTTTTTGAACCTGCATGTCAGTATAATAATTGATATCTTAAAACTTAAAACTAAAACTAAATCTTATCTAAGTATGAAGAGAATTAATCGTTGCAATTGAGGATTGCAACGATTTTTGCCTGAAATTATTAATTATTTTGTGGGACACTTGTTCTAAAGTCTTAACATTCGAAATTCTATGTACCTCAGTAGTACTGTACCAGGGAAGCAACTTCAAAATCATCTTCAGAACTGTGTTCTGAATCCTTTGAAATGCTTTTTTTCCTGGTAGTGGAACAACTAGACCATATTGGCACAGCGTAAAGCATGGCCGGTCTAAAAACTTGTTTAAATATTAGAAGTTTATTCGTCAGGCAAAGTTTGGATTTCCTGTTTATAAGAGAATACAAACATTTTATATATTTGTTACATTTGGCCTCAATGTGATCTTTAAAAGTTAATTTTTGGTCAAGTATTAATCCAAGATATTTCACTTGGTTTGACCAGGAAATTGAAACTCCGTTCATAGTGACTATGTGACTAATACTAGGTTTCAAAAAGGAAGCTCTAGGCTTATTAGGAAATATTATAAGTTGAGTTTTGAAAGCGTTGGGAGAAATCTTTCATTTTTGTAAATAAAAAGAGAAAATATCTAAACTTTTCTGCAGCCTACTGCAAATAACACTAGGACTTCTTCCTTTAGCGGAAATGCCTGTGTCATCAGCGAGGCAAATCAAGGAGGTCCGAAGTGAAAATGTTATACAATATGAATGCCCATGGCGAAATCCAAACTGCTCATCTGCAAAAATTGAGTTCGTATTGATGTGAAACATCATTCTATTTAAAATTATCATTTCAAAAAGTTTACTTATTGAAGAAAGCAAACTTATTGGACGGTAGCTAGAAGCTTCAGCTGGATTTTTATCCGGCTTCAAAATTGGAACAACTTTTGCATTTGTCGTTTTATCAGGAAGTATGCCAAAATGGAAACATCTGTTACATAATTTTACCAAGAAAGGCAAGGTACTCTCTGGGAGTTTTTTGATGAGGATATAGAATATTCCATCATCACCTGGAGCTTTCATATTTTGAAACTTTTTAGTTATAGACCTTACTTCGTCCAAAACAGTCCCTCAGGAATCATCAAAAATATTTTCCCGAGAGAAAATATTCAGATAATCCCAAACTGAAATTATGGGAACTCTTGAATTGCTTAGCAAGTTTCTGAGCTTTTTCCAAATTTGTGATCAATATTTTACCACCTTCTTTAAGCGCTGGAATAGACTTTTGAGATTTTTTCAAAAAAATTTTGAACTTCCAAAAGGGTTTGGAGCTCGGGTCTAATTTAGAAACATTATTTTCAAAAGTTTTGTTCCTCAAGGCAGAGAATGGCTTTTTAATTTGTTTTTGCAAATCCCGTCAGATAGCTTTCATGGCAGCATCGCGTGTTCTTTGATATTGTCTCCTACGGACATTTTTCAGACAGATCAAGAGCTGAATATCGTCGTCTATTATAATTGAATCGAATTTAACCTCGCATTTTGGTACTGAGGCAGCTCTTGCTTCAACTATAGAAGTAGTTAGAGATTCAAAAGCACAATTAATTTCGTCTTTGGTTTACAAAGGAATGTTTGGCTAAAAGTTATATTCCATAAATGTTCGATATTGCTCCCAATCAGCTCTATGGTAATTAAAAGTAGAGCTGTTGGGAATACAAACTATTTCTTGGGATATTTCTAAAGTTACTGGAAGGTGATCAGAATCGAAGTCAGCATGAGTTACCAATTGGCTACAAAGTTGACATGAATCAGTTAAGACCAAATCAATAGTTAAGGGATTTCTTGCGGAAGAAAAGCATGTTGGGCTGTTTGGATATTGAATAGTGTAATAGAACAATCATCAAACAGAATATTACCATTGGAATTGCTTTTAGAATTATTCCATGAGCGGTGTTTTGCATTAAAATCACCAATAATGAAAAATTTAGGCCTATGGCGGGTAAGTTTCTGAAGGTCACTCTTGAGAAAATTATGTTGCTGGCTTACGCATTGGAATGGCAAATAGGCAGCTATAAACGTAAGTTGTCCAAATTTTGTTTCAACAGAAACTCCTAAAATTTCAAAAACTTTGGTTTCGAATGAAGAAAGAGTTCATGTTTGATGCGTCTATGAACAATGATGGCAACGCCACCACAGGCTTCATCAAGATGATCATTTCTAGAGTAACATTTGAAATGGGCCAATGTCCAAAACATAAACAAACCAGAAAATTTATTTTAAATTTTTCCGCCTCTATGCAATTCATATTTAAAAAAATTGAAGTATTTTAGGCATTAATATTGTTCACAATTAGAAAAGTAACTGTATCTCAGTACACAACATCCAAAATATGCGAAAAGCTTTCAAATATATATGAAAATCGATAACAATTTAATTTCATAAATTAATAAGTCTTTTTGTGAATCTTTCAATGGATATACCCTTTTTATTAAGACGTTTTGCTTGTCATCACAAATGGTACGCCCTTTGCTAAGCCTTTTTGGCAACGTCAAATAAATTCAAAATAAATCATCAGCCCTTTCTCAACCAGTAGGGCCTAGCTTTGGTTTGAAAATTTTCAATCATCGGCCCTTCTACGTCACAAGGCTTATCAATGAAATGAAATAACTGAATGGTTGATCGTTTTAGCAAGCGGGCCTATTAATGAATCGAAAAATTTCGTTGATCGGCTGTTTCGAAAATCGAGTTATTTTTAATGATTTTTCTCGATTATGAGATTTTATCGATGATTATGATTTCCTACATGATTAGTAGCTATCAAGCGGTGCTAAATAATGGTATCATAACTCGATTTGTTTACGTTTTGGGCATAAGCCCATTTCAAATGTTACTCGAGATTTCTATAAATCAAATAGTTTGCGTCCCTTTTAACATTATATTCTAGTTTAAGGAACGTTTCAGTTGTAACGTTGAATAGCTCGTCTACCATCGAATCGATCAAGGAAGGGAAATGCCTGGCCCAGACTTGGTGTTAAACGTCGTCGTGGTAATGAAGGTGGACCGATTGGCACTTCTTCTTTGCAAGGGACCAATGCAATTGATCTCAGTGACTTGTCTGTACCGTGTCTAACACCACCGATCTCCCCTCCAAAGTTCTGGCTCTACCTGTCCGGATTACACCCGTTAATAACTGCTGAGGACATTCAAAAAATTACTTCTCGCTGCTTGGATCTAACAACACCTGCTGACGTCGTGCGTCTCGTTCCCAAGGAAGTGGATATGACGAAGCTGACTTTCATTTCCTTCAAAGTTGGCTTGGATCCATCGCTGAAAGAACTAGCTCTCGACGCTTCTACGTGGCCTGATGGGATATTATTCCGTGAATTCACCGACTACTCAAAAAACCAGTCTGGATCCAACGGCAACCCGCTGACAAATACTTAAGGCTCTATCATGTGGACGGTGGAAACCCTAGGGTTAGCACCATTATCAATAATCATTCTTTGCGACATTCTGTGGACGGTAGAAGCCCTAGGGTTTCCACCAGAGGTGAGTATCTGTACCATTCACCAAATATTCCCGCGCCAAATATTTCCATGTTGCAGAACACGACCCGTGACGCTAGTCGTTTATGGGTTTATTACCAAAACGTACGTGGACTGTGCACCAAGATCGACGACTTTTACTGCATCGTCCTGGAGTGCAATTTTGACGTCATCATTTTAATCGAGACGGGGCTTAACGAAGCTATCAATTCGACGCAGCTTTTCGGAAGCAACTACAATGTGTACCGATGTGACCGAAGCCATATAAACAGCAGCAAATCTCGTTTCGGAGGGGTTCTAATTGCCGTACATCATCGTTTCATCAGTAGCAGTGTCGTTGCAACGAGCGGAGAAACGATAGAACAAGTGTGTGTATCGACGAGGATTGGATCCAAGCGACTATTGCTGTGTGCAATTTACGTTCCTCCAGACAAGAGCAAGGATCTCAGCGTTTTGAATGGGCATATTGAATCGATCCAAGAGCTTTGTAACAGTGGCTCTGACAGCGATTGCTTGCTGGTATGCGGTGACTACAATCAACCTGGGATATCCTGGAGTTGGGTTGATGGCGAGATTCGACCTGTGAACTCTGTTCCTTTACCAGTTGCTAGCTCATTCTTGATTGATGGCATGGATTTCCACAACCTGCATCAGAGAAATCTCGAGCGCAACCACTTAGGACGCATCCTGGATTTGTTCTTTTGCCATACGGACTTTCCTGTGGAAATCTCGAGATCTGTTTCACCACTCTTGCCAGTTGATCTTCATCATCCGCCACTAGTCGTCTGCTTACCATCTCTAGTTGATGATGGTGCACTGCTGCTGAATGCGAGTGATGAGCTTGCGTTAGACTATAGCAAGATTGATTTCGATGTTCTAATGGACTTCCTTTCCGTCACTGACTGGGATCTTCTTTTCGATGGACTGAATGCTGATGAAATGGCTGATACGTTGTGTGCTGTGCTAAATAATTGGATGGATACAAACGTACCGATTCGTCGGCCTGCTGTTTCTCCTGCGTGGAGCACCGCTTTGCTACGAAAACTAAAACGAAAAAGAAATGCTTCGCAACGTAGACTTCGGCGATACCGTTCCCTGGCAAATAAGCGTAGTTTTCACTTGGCGTGTAACGAGTACCGTAATCTAAACTCTTCGCTCTACAAATCGTACGTTTTACGAGTGCAAACTAATTTAAGGCGAAACCCCAAGAGCTTTTGGAGCTATGTAAACTCGAAGAGGAAAAATTCAACAATGCCTGCAAGCGTTTTTTTTTTCAATG